CAAATAATGGGACCACTCTGGACAGGCTATTCGGGGTTGATTGTGCCGTCGCAACATCGTCGAGAAGCAAGACGATATCGCCCGCTTTATCTACGTCAACTAACTTTTCACCAAGCAGAACATCAACACCTACATGGTGAGATTTCGCAAGGGAACACACCATGATTGAATCCACAACGAAATTGAACGAAAATGGGGAAATCGGACAACCCTGAGGAACGCCACTTCTGGTCGGAAAGCTATCCGACAGGTCACCGTAGACCCTGACGCCGCCTGTAGTGTTCGAGTATAGAGCACGAAGGATGTTCACATATTTCTTGGGATCACCTTTCCGCGCAAGTATTTCGAACAAAATGGATCGGTCGACTGCATCGAACGCACTCTTGAAATCGAGGAACACAGCTATTGTCGGTCTGCGGTATGCGTGGCGCTGATCTTGCACCGGCCGCAGAGTAAATATAAGGTCTATACAGCCACGCCCTTGGCGGAAATCTGCCTGCTCTTCCCTAACCCGAGATTCCCGTTCCACAGTGAGGCGGCGAACTAGGATTGAGGACAGTAATTTTGTCACAACTGGCGTTAGGCTAATACCCCTGTGGTTAGAACAGTCTGTACGACTGCCCTTCTTGTATATTGCCACTAAAATCGATTCGCTCCAGTTAGCCGGGACACCCAATTTCATCCAGATACCTTCGAATAGGGAGGTCAGTGCTTTGCAGAGGACCTCACCTCCATCCTTAAGTAGTGTAGGTGAGAAGGAATCCGGGCCAGCGGCAAGAAAACGATTGAGGGCTGTGCTCGCGTTTCGGACCTCGGCCTCTGACGGAGGCTCTAAACTAACCATCCACGGCTCGTCCTGCATCACCTGAGTAGGAAGAGGTCCGGGAACAGAGGCCAGCTGAACTGATGTTGAAAGTGTTCCGCCCAACGAACCGTACGGCGCTCCTTATTGTGTATCAATGCACCCGCGCTGTCTCTGATTGTCTCATGGACGCCTGCTTTCCTGGGATCAGTGGTGCGGATCAGCTGGAAGAGCTTGCGATAATTGCCTACTGCTCCTGCCTCCTCCATTTCTTGAGCCCTAGTGGTCCATCAGGCTTCCTTGTCAGCACGTAGACTCCGCTTTAGTTCGCGCCTAATAAGCCGACTGGACTTAGAGCCAGCCGAGAAGTTTCATCTGGATTCCAACAGGTTCACCGACCTCTCGGATATCCTGGAACTGGTGCGGTGACGATTGCTAGTGTCACAAGCAGATGCTCCTGCGTCGTTAATGGTAGCCGAGATCCTATTCCACTAAAGCTCAGTGTCATTAGGACAAGGGAGCGAAAGTTCGGTACCCACTGCGTCTTGATAGGCTTGTATGACTGTGGGCTGAGACAATTTCTCAGTTGCCAATCGCAGGAGACGCTTGTTACGCCTCCCCGTAAACTTCACGGAGGAACGACAGCGTAGAATGGCATGATCAGATTCGACGCAGGTATTCCGGTACGAGCGGCAATCCAGGATGGAACCACGCCACCTGTAACTTATGGCAATGTGGTAAAGTTGAGTCCATCGCTGGCCAGCTATAGGGGGACGCCAAGTAACAATTCGGCGCCCACTGTGTCTAAAAGCAATGTTACAAAGAAACAACTAGTGCTCTGCACACAGTTGCAGCAGACGTTCACCGCTGTCAGTCCGTTCGGAGTTAAGCCTATAATTACCACCCAGCTGAGCTTCTGAAGAGCTCAGACGTCCTACTTGTGCGTTCATATCCCCTGTAAGTACTATGATATCTAAGCTAGTAGTGTTGCATAGACGTTGCGTAGAGATGTCCTTGACGGCATCAGAACTGCAGTTAGTAGGAGCATAAGCGGAAATCACGAACAAACCGCGTTTTCTACTACTTTGTGAATCAACCTTAGCTGATGTCGTCAAAGAGGCTGCACAGAAACGGCTGTTCACCGGAATCCAATCAACCAACGATGGCTCAGCCTTAGAGCTTTGAATGATACCTAGACCAGCTTGACCCGTGAGTGCTGCATCGGCGTCTGCGGATGCATGCAACTAATGACGAGAGGATAAGCCGGGTGCAGTTAATTCAACAACTCCATTAGTGTCATTGATCCTAGTTTCGGACACACAACACACATCAATACCCAGTGTGTCCAAGGTGCGTGCGAGTGCAGCCTGTTGACCTATTTGTCTTAGAGTGAGAATGTTGAACGCCGCCAGGGAAACAGGACAGTGTAGCCTTACCAGGGGCTGTTGTCGATAGGCGTCCGATGGGTCTTGTGGAAAGGTGGCTGCAGATGATTCTACTCCAGCGGCACTTCGGTTGCTGTCAATTAAGCCCGAATTATAGAAGAAGGGTTAGTTATGGGGGCTAGGATGGGAGCAAGAAAAACTGGTGGAAGAGTGAAAAGGGAGGCGCCAGCAGTAGCATGTTTTCGCTTAGCCACCCTGCTGTTTACAGTGGATAAGGTGACCGTTGATAATCTGCGCGACGGCCGATACCGGATGAAGTTTGTGTTTGAAGAAAATGTCATGGTTGTATGTGGGCTGAGATACTGCCAGGGCGCCCAGACGTAGACAGGAGGACGATTAGGGTCCTCATCCAAAGCCTTTGGCTCAAAAGCCTGTCCGCAAGGCAGCGGGGATGTGGCAATGATTTAGTTTTACAGAAATGGACGCCATCCCATTTCTAACTCCCAATCTGGAGGACCAGGGGACTGAGTTTGTCTGATCTCTAAGCATTGACCAACCTGATAGGAGTAGCTCTCAAGGGACCCGGAGGCACCACCCAGTATAGCTCAATGGGTCAAGGAGGTACGCAAACCATCGCACCACGTTAAGGTCCAGTCTCGTTGCCAGTGTTTTTATCCTCCGCGACGAAGAACGGGTGAAATGAACTCGTTCTATATGCATCTGATGGAATTGTCTCTATCAGTGTGCGTCACATTTGGCACCAGGACTTGATTTCCATTGGCTATGCAGGTCGTGTTAACAGAACCCCAGTAAGGGCTTTTACTCTACACAGTATCGAAATGACCGCTTCGGATCATAGGTGGTTACAACCTGTTGGATATCATTGCCTTAGGGGACTGTGTTGTGTCGCGTGGCCTGTAATCATGATCTGCGCTGGCGAGGACTGGATAGTGGTAATCAAGTGAGTTCGCTTGATCGGAAATGGGGTTGGATAAGTCACTTTGGTTTGGGCTCACCCTAAAAGAAAATAGCTCAGGATCGCTATCAGTGGCGTGGTGGGTACCATCTCCCACACTGACTAGTTGTTGGACGTGTCCGATGCCACTTTATCTGTAGACAAAGGCTACCTTTGAATCGGGTAACTAAGTTTGCGAAGAAGCTATCTTGTGACTCCGTCTCCCCATCACACAATGGGCGGCAGCTTGTGACGGCACGCAGGCCGCAGACACCTTGAGCTTGTGTGCTTGTCTGATTGGTTTACGCTATATCTGTCACTTTCAGCTATCAAGTTTGGGTTGGTCAACCGGCGAACGGTGAATTTACGCCCATTGCTCTGTGTCCGATACCGTTTGGTTGTCAGTCACACCGTTCGCCGCATCGCGCCACTGTTGACACAATCCTAACGCGGGTTCCACCGACCCTGCTCCTCGCAATACCGGACCGCACCACCAGTGTGCACATGGTGAAGGAGTGGACAAGCGGGTTTTAAACACCTAGTTCGAAAACGAGTAACCTCTCAAACGAACAGTGACAGGAGCAGCTGTCATAACAACAACCACACCGGAAGCATTCCATTACCGCGTGGGGGAGGGGTGAAATGCTAATTAGGGACACAAGGTGGCAGCTGCTCCACGAGTGAGGTGGCCGATTATGCGGCCCGTATACATGTGGATTTCCAACCGTGGAGGTGGATGTCAATACGTGAATCGCTTTTGGCGGAATTAATCCCAAACGCATAGTAACACATATCTGTGTAGACATCATTTCCGCTTGTGAAGACCTCATTGTCGAGTTTATGCCAACGGATGACCACAAACGAGCATTTCGCGCTTCCACTGAACCTAAGGATTGGCGAACAGGTAGTGAGAGACCACGCGCCTCTCGTACCTTTTCATCGTCTTAAGTGGTGATACTTGTGGAACCAGCGTTTCTCTATTTGGGAGTAACGTCACAAATTATTGGGCTTATAAGGTAATGCGGGGAAACGCGGACAACCCGGATTCTCGAGCAGGAAAGGTGAGCACATTAAAGTCGGTGGTGCCAATGACACTGCCAGATATTCCACTTGAAGCGAATAACCAAAGCACTGCCGGTGAAATCGTGATCTAACTCTGCGAATCGTGTGACCCGTCAGAAATCACTTTTCGCTGTGTTCCTGATTGTCTGAGTGAAACTGGACTATTGAAATCCGAGCCCACTTCATGTTTGTCGTGCCACGTACGCATAACCCCGCTAGATGTCGGATTTCCACCGAACTTTTGTTAAAATTGTGCACAAACAACTTTATCTGAAGGCTGGCTAATAGTCCCAAGTTTTCCACTTGAATTTCGTAACCCCTCAAGTGAGGATGTCCACAAAAGTGTCCGACTCATGTTGAAACTATTGCTGGGACAAGCACCTTCATATCAAGCTCGCAGTTGCTTCTGGGTTGATATCCGTTGCAACTAGGCCGCAACCTTGTCTGTCAATTTCCGCCTACACCTCTGTGTACTCAGACACTCCTACTCCACTTAGTTCAAGCTTTAGTGCATTGCTACATGTGTCACGAATCAAATCTACAGCATTCCTTCACGTGAGAAAGAACGCTGCCGAATAGGCATCACACTCGAACACACAAGTAGTCGAGAGAACTCGTTGCCACAAAAAGATAGACTGTTGATGGCTGGAACGGCCGTTGGCGTGGAGTAACTGTTTTCTTGGTGAACCAAGCTCAACGAACCCGGTCATACGGTTGCAGCCCATACAGATTCAACCTACGGAGGAATAACCAAAGTGGACACAAGATTAACTAGGCTGTTAGTGGGAGAAATCTGCTTTCTTCAAATCACGGCCATCAGAAGCAAAATAGAGTAGGTATATACAGTGAGGGCATTTAACAAATGGTACATCAGGTGAGCCCCAGATAAAAGTTAGAGATACGGTCTCCAAACTGAGGAGGCACCACTCGAGTCTTTGGTGTTGATTCTCTTAAAGGCGGTCGATGAGGAAGGAATTGGTAGATTTTCCATTGATCGCATTGGGTGCTTCCAGCTTGGTGACGGTAAAGGCGTCTGGAAACGAGGGGGTGGATGAACTGCAGCTACAAGCGAACCTGTTTGGGCAGCGCCTGAACGCCGGGACCGGAAATGTTGGCCGGAGATATGAGGGTGTCGCAAGTCGGTGGGCGTCACTTCTGTTAAATCCGACACACCACATTGTGGGCTGTACACTCCGCTGTCTGACAAACTGCATGAAGTGAAAGTGTCACATTCATTCGGAGGATTCGCGACGCTGTGAAGCAGATAATCGTCCGACCCAGGGAATGCCGGCGAGCGAATTGAGCGCCGAACTACAAAACGTGCGATTGGAGGTCGGTTTTCACCATCTCCGGAGTTGGTTGCTGGACTAATTCCAAAAAGTGAATCGTTCTCCTCGTTTGCGAAGTATGTGCTGCTTTGGTTGGCTTCATCCTGCGACGAAGTAGGGACAATTGCTAGTTCTGGAATTTGCGAACGAAGTTGGTTCAGTCTTGACTGTAGATCTGTCGAACATAAGAGGATTGCAGTGAATCAGTTGTGCCTCACTGATCTAACGAAGCGTGTAACAAGCATGTAACAAACGTGTGACAATCCAGTTGCCCAGCTTGGCGAGCAGTTCAAATAGTCCGCTGAGTTTGTCCAAAACTTCAGTGTAACGTAAACTCTTGTTACGGATTTTCTTAGATGATTATGAATAATGCTTAATTCGTTACTTCCTACAGATTGCGTACTCTAAAGCGACGTCACTCACCTGGCTTCTCACGCGCGACCTCCGCAATGCCCTCGAGTACCTTATAGCATGTCGTCAGAATGTCAGCCTTCTCTGCTTTCTGGCGTTCATTTGGCTGACGGATCGAAAAGGAAAAAGCGCATAGTAATGTGTACACAGAGTGAGGCTGGAAACAGATCGATTCATGAAAGGTTTATAACTTAACGGACTACGATTTAGTTTTGGCTCACTGCCAATCCCTCATCCTTCTCGAACACATGCGTTTACCGATTTGAGATATGTACCGGGGGCATGCAGCAGAGGTTGAATAGTGCTGACACTCGGAACATAACAACTGCATGGGTAAGTGAAGCGGCAAACGACAGCCGTGTTGACCTTGGGGAGTGCGGTGCAGGCCCCCAGGGTGCGATAAATTGCAATGCGACAAGGGCACTCTGTTAGCGGGTCATAGTAACGGATGCCAACGACAATCACCGAAGCATCACAGCGTTCGTGTCTTGGTTGCTCTAGTAAACAGCACGTAATGAACCAGTGGCGTATAGGCCACGAGAAGGCGATGGGTCGGACCACGGACCAGCAGACACTACAAATATTGGATCACATACTGCAAGCAGAGCCAAGTGTGCAGCATTGTACAGAGACCGTCAAGCATATTACACAATGCAGGGTCAATAGCCAACTAGGTAAAACGTGTAACTTACATCTAAACCAATAAGCTTCATCGCCAAAGTGTGCAACGCATTCAGCTTGTCCGTTATACACGCACGACGTCGACGCTCCAGGTTTTGCTTTTTCATCTGGAAGATGTGTTGTGAGAACAGAACATCAGTTACACAACGAAAGGACGAAATTGCGTCAAATATAAGCTAATTTCACCCTCCTTGCTCGCGTCCCTGTCCTGTGTCCTACCTATCTTCACATGGGTGTATTGGTGTAGTGCAGACACATCAACCTGGCGACCCGCAGGTCGAATGCATCCCCATGCAATCACGCCTGCGGCGAATGTGACCAGAAATTTAGCCCCAGTGGTCCTTGAGAGGTCTTCAGTTTAACAAGCTTGTTTTACACGCATTATAGTCTAGTAACAGATAGACATGCTGATTTGTAGGCTACAAATGCACCCAGGAAATTCTGTCTCACTTGATAGTATTGAAATGAGGAAAAGCGCAGGCACACACACTCCATGTCTAAGAAACAAATATGCGTGCTACGCTTTGCACTAATCATCACGACCAAACAGAAATGTCATCCTCCAACAAACTCACCCGGCGTGTTTGTTCGCGCTGCTCCGGTGGGATATCGGTGCGCCGCCCTCTTCGGGGTCTAAAAGTCAGGCAGGTGGCAGCTGTAACTGGGGTGGACGTTGCATAAGTGCCCAGCAGATTGAGCGTGTGAGGATTCCGTTGAGCAGGTGCAACGGCAAACACAGGAGACGCGGCGTGAACGGGCAACCGCGCAGCGTAACTGTCAACCATGTCGAACAAGCGATGTGACACATGATGCGCACGTGGCATTCGATTACTTTATAGGAGGACCAACAATGTTGGCTACCTGCGGACGAACGTAGCCAATCACCAGTCGAGCGCGTGTCACAACGACCGTGTGTTCGAAGGTGCCGTCTGTGATGACCGACTCGTGGATAAGATGACCCAATAGAAACCCGACATTCAATCGTTTCGACAAATCGGTTTGCTGCGTGGGCGGGTGACGGAATTTCACTGTCACGTGGTTGGGGAAACCTTGCGCTACCCCGAGAGTAGGTGCGCAAGATACACCAACACAGCCAATCCGCTTGGGGGGTGGGAGTGGGAAAGCTGGAGATGTAGATGACGTGTGCATGAACCGATGGCCCAGTTATAACCATGCAACTAGGGTGGAGGAGGGAACAAAATGTCCAGCAATGGCAAACGCGAGCAGGCTTTCACGCCTGTTTCCAGCTGATTCGCTTTGAATGAACTGCCGTTCCTATCCGCAAAACCAGCAGCGCGACCTTCTGGTTTATGACCGCTCGTATGACCGTACTATGAAGCAGCAATTATCCCTAGTATTAATTTGTCACCTGGGTGTTATCTATTTTTCCCCCGGAGTACATATTGTTTCCATTCTTTTGTTTTTCCAGTGTGAAACGTTCGATAGGCCAAAGGACAGTGATGACAAGATGCTTCTACCAAGTTGGCTAGCAAGCCGGTATGTTGGACGTTTTCGAAGTTATCTCCAAGAAAGTACGTGAAATAGTACCAATTACCAGTACCTAACTACTGCGTACTATGAACAACGCTCTGCCACAGAATAAAGAGTAGTCTGTCACGAGCGGAGGGATAACTGGGGAGTGACTTGTTACACGCAGTGAGCACACAACGTAGTAGGCATTCAACAGGTCACCGAGGGTTTGTAATGGGATTCTCTCCCAGCACTGAGCCAACAAACCTGGGGATAAGTCACTTGTTGAACATCGTCTTATCACCAAGCCTATGGCGTAAGTTAACACCACACACGCACCCAGTCGTGATAACGAAGCAGCGTTGAATGTACCACTGGAGTATACTACCCTGATGACCTGCCTACTGGAACAACAGCAGAATTATTGACAAATTATTGACTTCACCAATTGTCTCAATGTGTCATAAACAAATATCCGAAGTTACGTAACCGGTGGCCAAGAGTTCTAAGTGATTTTCACGCAACTCCTTCTTATGCGAAAACATAGGTAGTTAAAAATGATGGTGTCAAGGAAGAGTTTCGGAGCTATTGTCACACAAAACGGTACTCCATGACCTGTTTCCTCCTGGTCTGTAACCTTCAGCCCATAGTGGTCGACTGCTTATGCCTTAGTCACTAGGCCAGATCTCCGAGAGTAGCACTCAACACAACAGTTAGCAGTCCATTAAGTACCCAAGGCGTGAGCCGTCAACCAATTCAGACTATCTCTACCTGATGAGTCCAAATCAGGACGAAACCGGTCGGTCGTGGGGTGTAGTGTTAGGAGACAGCAGCACCGAAACACTCTACTTTGGATACGGTCCTAGCGATTGAAATGGCAAAGATTTGATTCAATGTAAATTGTGACCCCAAATGAGATTGCGTGTCACTTTACGGGTACATAGCTGGCACTCCAGGATCCAACGATGGTGTCTGTGGTTTGGTGTTATTTTCAAATGGATTTCACTCCCACGGCACCACTAGTATTGGTGCACATTTTTTGACTTTGGTATCTTGATGCCAAGCATCTCTGACCGAGTGTACTTTGCACTCCCAAAGCGCTGATTCGTATTTGCATCTGACAACACTCGTTACTGACTTATTTTACAATTTGTTTGTGATACTGAACGTGTCATGCACCATGCTGGTGAGACACTGCAGTATCCTAATTCCATATTTGTTCACCCACGACTATGAAGGGTGCAGTATCGTCAACTCGTCCACAGGGATGTATGTAGTTAAAATGTGTTATAACTCCCGCTTAGTAATAAAAAGACAGAACTGACACGGTTTGAAAACGTTTACTTGCACAACTGATGTTACAACCAACTGTGTCGGAAAGACGTTAACTACACACTTAGTCGAAACCCATCGATGCTCTCGGTTGACTGAAAGTTCCAAGCTAACATACAAACACACGCGCTGGAAATCGATCGATTTTCACTTGCTGTCTGTGTGGCCGACATCCGTGATCTCTGTAACAAAATCTCGTAGGGCTTCGTGTTGAATAATCAAGGGGTCACTTAGTACTTGCGCAGAAACGGCACAACATTGAACTAACTAATGTCATAGGAAAGCATCGGGAAAGAGCCTAGTGATGAAAGGGAAGTGGGCTTTTCCTTTACATAGAGTTTTTTGCGTTCGAAATAGCTTAGCCCGTTGGCTAGATGCCGAAATCAGTGGGACACAATTCCTTGTATAGTAGTTAACAGAATTTACCCCGAGATGCACGGCCAGGTTCGTGGTTAAATTCCGTCTGCCAATGGGTGGAGGTGCTACAGTGGGACGGAAGACACTTTTGCACCTCATAACACGGATAATCTGCAAGCTTTTTAACACAGTATTATTCGGTCGGATAAAATTAGCTATTTATCGGACATACCACGAATCGCCTTTCGGGGGCCGATACATGACAGTCTGCATAACGCGAAGAATTAATTTTTGTGAATCCGCAAATCGCGACATCATCTTAGCTAAAATATATGCAAACCATTAGTACTGATAACTTCGCTGGTTTACGTTTCATTTAGATGAGGGGTGTCCAAAGTCCGGCCTGCGGGGCAAATGCGATCCGCGTTCACCTTTCAACTGGCCCGGGGCCTCATCATAAAACAATAAATTCAGGCTAGTATTTTTTCATATATGTGTAATTTTGGTTATTCTCTTAATGCCAGAAGGAATATGGCTTGACGTATTTTTACCTCACAAAATGTGGCACTCCTTGCAAAAAGTTTGGACACCTCTGCTTTAGATGAACGGACGTTTCGCGTTCCATTCATATCGGTCTGTGATGTTACCACGGGGATCCATCTGCAGCTAACCATCGTCTTGGTGGCCGAGCTAACCTGGTACATGGGTTCTCCGAACTGAACTAGAGGTGGGTTTCACCAACATGTGGCACGATGACAACACCTGCTCATATACGCAATCCATCTATTACTAGCCCCCATAAACGAGCACCATGGCAATAACACATCTGAAAACATACTGCCTACCAGCATTGTCATATCATGGGAGCAACGTGGTTCTCAACAATGTCAGTCTTGTACAGCCAGGTATGTTGATGGCACAGATCAGTGATATGGAAACTATGCAATAAGACGCTGATGTCGTTACTTATCAAATGACCGATATTATGGGCTATATAATCGTTCACTGCACAGCCTAAGTTATGAAAAGTGGTGCTCCAAATCTTAAACGAGCGGGTAGCTTTCTCCTAAACTGTTCCAAGAAGGAGCTACTCGAGAGTCCTTTAAAGTACCTCATTTCCAGAGGTCGAAAAATTCAAAACCAAGGTAGCGTCTACCATCAGTTTAGCACATTGGTATAATGAGAGTAACTGCGTCAGCTTCTTTAAGTATCCGTGAAGTTATAAAGAGATGGACCAACCGAGAGGCCAAGGCTTCATTCAACATTCAAGTAAGACCTATTTGGGGGTCTCAAATTATCAGTACATAAGACCTTGTCCCATAAACTAGATGAGTAAACTTATCCAAATCCAACATCCATACACAGACCTTTATTTAACTGGGGGAAGTGGCTCGCAAACTTCTTCCTCTAAAGGCGTTATTACACGGGTGAGCCACGTTTGTTTGCATTGTCCGAGGTGATCTCATGCGAGTGCAATCCAGGGTTTATGGTCGCAAGTATAACCTCATCAAGCTTTCTCCCTAGTGTGCCTCGTCTACTTGTGTCCTAACTTCTCATCCCTCTTCCGGAACTGATAGAATAGGCAAATGACCTCCATGCATCAACGTTCTAAGCTTAAGTGGAGTGTTTACCGGATTCGATATCTTGTCACTTGGTGACATTGTAGCACCCGACCGAATAGTGAGCTGGGCCAATCAAGCGCACCTCCAGTTGCTGAGCTGCAGTTCGAAAACCTTCCCGGTGACCAGCACTGCTGAAATTACTGAAACTGCTGTTACCTGGACAAACTTTTTCACATTTTTATCCGAAGCTGATATGACTAACGCTACGTAAGATTGCGTACGGTGCCGTTGACAGTCGAACTGCCTACGCACGTCATGAAACCCGATTATGCGTTGCCTTGCTGACTGTCTAGATTAATCTTTACATGTCTGTTCCATGTTACACCGAGCTTAAATTCGGCTAGTAATCTATTTAAACGCAAATCCCTTTGACGACTAGAAGCTACGCAGAGTGCTTTACAACCCGGTTTTCTCCCAGCGAATCGAAATGGAAATTGAGAAAATGGAACCTACCGTTAGCGAACTCGTAAAGTGTACCTACGGAAATGCAAGAACACAGTTTTGCGAAGAGTACTCTTTTCGACAAATCTCTTCAGACATTTACAATTATAAAATGGAAGGGCAGAGGACAAATAGCTGATGAAGCCAAAGAGGTGGGAATAGTGAAATCACGACAAACAGAGACTCAAAAGTTTTGTCAATGAAGTCCACTAACAACACATGTGACAGAGAGTGTGTTGCTTGATCGGTGGAATGCCAGGCGCATCATGCGATCACTGCAGGCGCACGAAGTGATAAACTTTGGCAAACTAACTAGGCCCAAGATATAAGAAGCTCTTGCGGCAAAGCATTCTGTTTCCATAATTCCGGTTGGATTATCCTAATCGCGATAGCTTCGGTGGTCCGTAAGATTTGCTTCCTAAGAACTTTAGGGTACGGTTGCTGTACTACCTAAAGTACATGGAAGGTATCAGCGGTCCTAATTTGGTGTTTGCTTTCCACCAGATGTTCCAGGATAGAATTGTTGGGGCGGCTTACGATGCAAAGCAGCTAGGCAGTGCTCCGCAATGCGTTTAGACGGAAGTCTGGTTGTGTGTCTCACG